TCATGTGCAGTGACGGATCCAGAAATTTTAAGTAGTGGGGGCAATATTTAAATACATAAATTTGTCAAAATATAAAATAAAATTTCTATAAAGATAAATATATATCATAATTGTTCTCTACGAGTTTTCATAGTTTGAAAACATTGAATGATTTGCTCATTTTCAATACTATCAAAAACCTCTCTCTCTATATAAGTAACTAAACAATCATTTAACCATTCATCTCCCATACGATTGCGCATCCGATTCTTGATGATATTCATAGCAGAAAAAACTCTTTCAACTGATGCAGTTGCCACTGGTAGTATCAAGGCTAGCTCTAAAAGCAAATATACCAATGGATATACAACATGTTTTCTTGTCTCCACAAGTTTCATAGAAAGATCACCAATCCCTTCTAATTTTGAAAAAGCACTGTCAAAACATACATCTATGAAATAATTTTCAAGTTGATTATCTAATGCCAAAAGTTCAATTGGAGAAAATTCAGAAGAATAAAATTGAGCAAAACGAATCAACTTCTCCTTGTCAAATGCAGAAAATGAATCTCTTGGATTTAAACATGCTACACAAAGAAGCAACTCAGTATTTGCTTCTGTGAAACGATTGTTTAACTCTTGAAGTTGTTGATCAATCACTTGAAAAAATAATTCAACTTGAAAATGATGTAGATTAGAAACTTTCTCTACCCTACGCCTTGACCTTCCTTGTGTTTGAAAAGTGTCATTCATATTTAGAACCACAATGTTATGGTTTTCACAAAATGATGAAACATTATTGAGCAAAGAAGACCAACCATCATCTCTCATTGCTTGTAACCTTTGTTTGGACACTGAAACTAATTTCATAGCATTTACAATATCTTGATCACTTCTTTGCAATGCTTGAGATAACTCATGAGTAATCCCTAAAATATTTTTCATCAAGTGTAAGGTGAAAACAAATTCAAAAGTTTGCATAGAATTCAATAAAGCACATGTTTCACCTTTTTGTGCTAAACTCATGCCATCTTCCTCAACTATTTCAAGCACATCAATCGTGGAAGGGAACAAGGAAAGTAGACTAAGTAATGTATCATAATGTGAGCTCCATCTAGTATCTCCCGCCTTTTTTATTGTAGTTTCTTGATTCAAGCCACGCCCACTAGAGATTTCTCCTTTTTGCAATGCTTCTTTCACCTTTGCAATTTGACTTTCTCGAAGAATATCTCGACGCTTACATGATGCTCCAACAACATTAGAAATATTAGCAACCAAGTTAAAAAATAATGCAACTCCAACATGTTTTTTTGCCACTGTAACAAGAGCTAATTGAAGTTGATGGGCAAAACAATGAATATAAAATGCGGAACAATTCTCTTTTAATATCAAGCTTTTGAGGCCATTAAATTCACCTTGCATATTACTTGCTCCATCATATCCTTGTCCACGCAACCTTGATAAACTTAATCCATATTTTGAAAACAATGACTCCAAAGCTATTTTCAATGATAAAGCATTAGTATTAGAAACATGAACAAGACCAAGAAAACGCTCTATAACTTGTCCCTTTTTATTAACATAACGTAAAACCACAACCATTTGCTCTTTCACTGAGATATCTCGAGATTCATCAATCAAAATAGAAAACAAATTATCTCCTAGATCATCAAGTATAGCTTTAGTAGTTTCACTAGCAGCAGATCTAACAATATCTTTTTGTATTGTAGGAGCTATCAACTTAAGATTTCCACGAGCATTTTTTATCACTTTATGAATAACTTCATTGTGGTCAACAAGAAAATCTAAAAGTTCAAGAAAATTTCCCTTATTACTTGATGACATTGACTCATCATTACCACGGAAAGCTAATCCTTGGCGTAATAAGAATCGAATGCAATCAACTATTGCAGTCAAATGAATTCGATATTCCTTTTTAGTTTGATCAGACTGCTTACACATTGCAACTTCAATATGTTGCTTTTGTTTCATCAAAGATTGACAATTCCTCCATGCTTGATTATGAAAACTATTTGGACCTCCAACATGAACTTGAAATCTCTCACTTTTTTTCCAATTTGTAAAACCTTCTGTTATGAATACATCACCACTACCTTTATGTTCCTCAACATGTGATCTCATAAGATAACAATATAAATAATATGCTGCATCCTCCTTTTGACTATATTCTAACCAACTTCCATATTTTAAATACCAATCCAGATTAAATTTACGAATGGTATCTCCAAATTGTCTTTGTGGAAAATTTATCTCTTTTGGTTGACAAGGACCCTTTTGCAAATAATATCTTCTAACTTCATCTCTATCACTTGGATGATAATCTGAAATTTTTGGCCTTAAACAAGGATCATCAGGAAGCCTTTCCAAATCACATTCTAAAAATCTTTTTTTGGTTGGTGGACCCAATTTGACTTCTTTTTCAACATGTATTTAAGGAGAAGATGGTTGCTCTGAAGATGATTTTCTTTTAAAATACCTTTCCATTGCTACAACTAAAAGCAATATAATTTTAATTAATGTAATGTTCATAACATACAATATTTCTTATAAACATAAAAATAGAATGAGTAAATCAAAATCAAAATCAAAATACTAAATTTCTTATTGAAAATAAAAAAAAATTAATTCAAATAAAGCAATATAAAAATAATAACTTTAAATACACTAACCTCAAAGACCACTTTAAATGTATAATTTAGCTGTTCAAACAAGAAGGAGTATAGATAGAAGAAGAAGTTTATTTTTTTTTCTTCCAATTTCACTCTTCTACACTTTAAAATATGTTAGAGGTAAAAGAGAACCTCAAAATATAAAAAGAATTAAAAAAATAAAAATAAAACAAAAAAAAGATATAAAATATCTAAAAAGAGGTTAATAACAACTTATAATTTTTTTTAAAACTTAAAACACATATATTATTTAATTTATAATTTTTTTTATCTTGATTTACAATTTAAATGCATAACATTTTTTTTTAAAATATGTAATTTGTTGTTAATTATTATAACATTAAAATATTTTTAAAAAAATTTCCTTTCTCATATAAAGATAATTGCAACAAAACTTAAATTCAGTTTTAATTTTATAATTTTTTTAGTTTTTAGTTTTTATTTTTTTTTATTTTAGATTTTAAATGAAGATAATATAATAGTATATATATTATTAGTAAAAACTGAAAAGTTAGTGGAGCACAAATTAGTGCATCTGTTCCTGCAACAAATTCGGTTTTAATTTTATAATCTTTTAGTTTTTATTTAATTTTTTTTGTTTGATTTACTTTTTGCTGACTCATTTTGCTTGGTCCACTTATGGCCCTAGTTTTTTTTTTAAATTCTTTTTTTGTCTTTTTCATTAATCTCCAAAAAAACCGTAACGGGAGTAATGAAGTTGAAGCAACATTATGCAACTACAAAAAAGCCGTCACATCAAAAGTACACAGGAAATAAAAAGTATGTTTGAATACAAATTTATAAATATTTTTAAAAACCTCTTTGTTAAAAATAATCTTTATTTTAAATTAAAAAAATCTTTCAGAAGTAATTCTAACTCGAATCCAAATATAATACATCTACGTAATAAGAGCAAGAGATGTAACAAGGAGCAAGCAAAATAACTACAATTTCTCTACTAACATTTATCCATGAAAAGTGGACATATGAACTAACATAGCTATATTAATTAATCAAATACTAAAATAACAAGACAACCCAAAAGAAACAAAACCAAATTTCAAGCCTTCAAATCAAGATACATTACAAACTTAAACAGTGACATGAAAAAAAAAAATAGAAAGAATTCCACAAGGATGGTTATTATTCAGCAACCAAATTATCATATTGCCAAGGGTTGAAGTCTGGTCTGCTATCAGGTTCCTCAATGCACTCAGAACTTTCAATAGCAGCACGATGTTCAGTATATTTACCATTGTATTGGTAAACTTCCAAGTCACCCCAAGGGGTAGGAGTTACTTCATCTGTTAAATCAAACCATCTAGGAGTGAACTTATGGCCCTTGGCCTCTCTGTTTCTCTTCTCAGCTCTTTGCCTCTCCTCCAAACTGAAAAACAAGTTTAAGCACACATTGTAAGGAATTAAGATCTCTTAGGCAATGCTAATTAAGGACCTGAATGGATAAATTTCTCCTGAAGTATTTTTACAAGAAAAATTAAAATAAACTTTTTCATAAGTTAAAACTAGTTTATGCATAAATTTAAAAAAAAAAAATTGAATAAACTAATAGAAGAGGACTTTTAAAAATTAGTTTATGAAAAAATTATTTTATTTATCTTTCTTATTTCTTTTTAGAAGTGTTTATGGGAAAGTTTACCCAAATAGATTATCAAACAAAATTTTAAACCCTTTGACCATCTTTGTTACCTGCTCTTCTCATAGCCAGATGTGGATAGGTCACCCTTCTCAAGGGCCATTCTATCAGGACGTAGACGAGAATCTGAAGCTAGCAACTTCTTGGGAGCAGTGTCAAAGCTGTTAATCTTGTGTGCAAAATATGTGTACTGGAACTTGTCCTTCTTGGGGACATCAGCAACTCTCCAAACCTGTGCAGAATGAAACAAGGTTACAATACAAGAAATAATTAAAATTATCAGAACAAAAAGTAGTGGTTACAACTCAAAAAAGAATTTTAGGAAGAGTTACAGCAAATAATATAGACGTGTTTGGATAAAGTTTTTCATAAGTTAAAATTAATTTATACATAAATTAAAAAAATATTCCGGATAAGTTAATATGAGAGAGTTTCTATAAATTAACATTCAGATATGCCAATTTTAACTTTTACATAAGCTTATTTCATTTTTTTTCTTATTTTTTCAACTAAAAGAGCTTACAAAGAAGACTAGTCAAATAGGCTCTATATAGAATAATAAAGTGGCATGCTAATAAGTCATAGCATAGCATATTAATAATCAATAAAAACTGGTGTAACACTGACGAAAGTTGAATAGCAAACCTCTTTCAGTTCAGTGCCTGGAAGTGGTTCTCCCTCAGAGTCACAAACTTGATAATTCATAGCCTCATTCCATTTTCCAGTCATCAGTATCTTAGGCTCGTCAGAAGAATTATACACATATCCATCCACTTCATATCTACCAGCTCTGCAAATGCAAAAAATCTTTTCTTAAGTTAGATAATATATATAACAGTAGCACTTCAGAAGTTATGAAATGAAAACACCACATAGTAGCAAGTAATAGGTTACAAGTGAACATTTGATGACAAGAGGAAGTAGTCATACCCAAACCAGCCGCATGGTTGAAAATACAGAACCACTTTGTCCCCTGTAGTCAGATTTGTCAGGATCATCTCTCCTGGTGAATCAATCCATGTTCGCCCAAAAATCAAGTTGCTAACTTTTGTAGGAGGAGGCACCAAATCAAGAACCACACCGTCTCTTTTGAGGGTAACTCGTGTTCTGCATCCAAGTAACAATATGTTAAATACATACAACTTAACAAAGAAAAATGCTTACTAGTGAACTACAAATTAAATTGAGGTAAAAGCATATGGTACATCGTTAAGCATAAGATACACAGTTTAGAATCCATGCCACCTGCATGGGGATACTAAATCCCAACTCCTATGGCTCTAAAAGACATGTGTGACAGTTTTTTTTTTCTTTCTGTATTTTATTTCTCTTTAATTAAATAAGGGAAAACCATAAACAATCCCAAGATTCGAGATAACAGAAGAGGACTGAGTGGGAGTTAAACAACATTGAGTTCCATAATTCTCAGTAAAAATGAAGAGCCATTGAAAAAGGTAAAGAAATATTACCTTCCAATAGGATATACATCAACTGAGTTGCCAAGAAATTTGGTTTTCAATTTCGATGTCACGTCGTAAGTGAAATGTTCATTTTCAGCATGCCCTGCACTCATTGGAGGGTGATGGCTAACCTATAGCAATTTGGATTTACATGTAACCACAAGTCAGAATCATACTTAATATAAGAGCATCACTAAGTAACTGAAAACTATGGATAATTCCATTATAATATGGATATCAAGGGGGGGCCCACCCCCCAACAAAAAGGGACATGTGAAACGCCACAAAAACTGTGTTGACTCAGCATTGTTTGATGAACTGACAAAAATGAGCAGCTCCTTAAACGTACCTGCTCTGCTATAAATGATATGTCACCATGGTTAGCCATTTCATAAGTCTCGCCAAGAATTGGATTGAATGGCTTCCACGTTCGTTGATAGGCATAGTAGACAGATATAAAGAATGATGCTGCAAAAATCAATTGTAAGGTCATATACCATGCATTTGCTATATATAGGCACAAATGAGAGACGGAGAAAGAAAGTAATGCTTACAAGCATATACTAGTCTCATGTATGGATCCTCAGTCTTATCCGCCATATCTAACAGGTAAGAGTACTCCATAAGCTGTGAAATTATGTAACCAATGAGATTGCACAGAGAGAAAACTTGCTAAATACTGTGTCAATGTAATAGCAAAAGCACATGCAGCAAAATACATATATAACACAGACCTCGGCCATCCTCTGCAGCATTGTCATTGGCTCGAAAATGATAACTGGAAGTGTCACCATTGATGTGATATCAGACCCAACATACTTTTGCATCATTTTCCAGTAACTATCTCGCTCCTGTAAAGAAATGATGCATTATAAATATGGAGGAAAAAAAATCTCCAAAGACCACCATGAGATAAATGTAAACTTTTATCCACATAATTAAAGAAGCTATTGGTTTACATTGCATATTATCCGTAGACAAATAGCATGACTAAACAAGAAGCTCATATCAGACAGGTTGACTAAAGTGGAATAACAAGCAGCAATTTTTATCGATAAATCTAGATTGTTTCAATTAGTATAGAGGAATAACTTCCTCACATAATAAACTTTCTTTGACTCAGATGATTCTTTCATCACCTACCAGTCATGATATTTTGTTTAGACAGTCATGTGTGCAAGCCTTGTGAGTTGTGACCTTTATATTTTCTTCACTTCAACATGCAAATACGATACAAACACAGTGATAAGTAGTATACCTCTTCTTTCCATCGTCCCTTCTTTGCTTCCTCTTCAGCATCTTCAGTTCCTCCTTCTGGGTTAATAACCTCCAGCCCCTCATAGCCCACCATACTGACCAACAACATCAGAAATTGTCAACAAAAACAAACCTTATCAGCTCATGAACTCAAACTATCACAAGCTTCAACAAACAAATCAAACGATTACAAGCCGTATTTCAAGTAAGGGTGAAACTGAAAAATGAATAGAAAACCCAATATTTGAACAAGATCAGAATACAATCAAGAACCTCTTACACTAAACCCTGCATCCATAAGTATGAAACAACCACAAACCAACGCACAACAGTGAAGACGACATATCATAACACATCCAACAAACAAACAAAACCAATTGAAAAAGATGATCTTCCAAAGGAAGCATCTCTTGCATCCATCAGTGTCAAAAGTTTTAATAAAGTGGCAAATCCATGATCCCGAGACACCCCACATGACTGAATTACAGAAAAACAACATCAAAACAGATAAATTCAACAGCTTTCAAAATTCAAACTCCAAAAGACTCATACCCATTTACAGATTTGGACATAGCACTGCCAAAATTGGACAAACTGGAAGCAATAGAAGCAAAAAAGCCACCCCCACCACCAGAAGTAGTAGCAACTTGCTTGGGATCGTTCGGAGCCATGGCAACCCAATTCACAAAAAAAAAAGCTTTTTTGAAGAAAAAAAAATGATAACAAGCCCGATCTAATGACTAACGAGGCAAATGGGTACACTTAAATATGGGTTTATTATTATATACAGCGAATAATAATGAACAACAAGAATATATTATTATAATATATAGAGAGAACAGCGAAGAAAGTTGGGATTTTGGTTGGCGGTTCTCGAATTTGAAAAGTCCACTGAATGGAAATCGGAAAGTGGGGGGATATTTCATTATTTCTTCGTTGAGGTGAAGACACAAGAGAAATGAAAAAGGGGTTTGTGCTGCACGCGCCTTGTAGAGCGCGTGGAGATGAGGGGTTTAGTTGAGTTGTGCTTTGCATTCAGAGAATCCAAATTGGCGGCTTTACGAGGAACAGCTAGTGCTGTTTTGGGATTGCAATGAGAAGGATCACGTTTGCCTTGCCGGCTTTTTATTTTTTTTATTTTCTTATTTTAAATTTTAAATTTTAAATTGATGTTCTTAAGTTTTATCTTAAACTAATTTTATTCGACTAAGAAGTAAGTCTAGATTGTTGCCAATTGCTTTGTTTGTGCCATCATATATATATATATATTTTTTTTTAAATCAAAGTGATGGATATATCATATATTCATATATGAGTGATAAGTAAGGAATAATAATGACATCCACAATTCCACATCCCGAGGAGTGTGTTAAAGATATTTATTTTAAAATTAATAAATTTGGAAAATTATAATAAGAGTATGTTAAGAATCGAGGATGATGATAACGAGCAAGTTTTGAAATTAAAATATATTAAAATTATAAGAAAATATAATATTTTATAGTATTAATTAATTAGAAATTATTATCAATTAAAAGAAATATAACTTTTTAAATAATTAGTATTTTAGTTTTTGTAATACATAGGTTAAATATGTATTATATATAACTAAAATTTATAATAAATTATATAAAATAAATGTATTATCCGTACTATTATGCCAAGCTTGAGTTCGGCATCACAGCGCGGAGTGACCTCGAACACGCGCTAGGCGATATCGGCTCTCTCTTTTGCAGGTACCACCCCCATCTTAGAGCACCAGCGTACCAGTGAAGGAGGCTCACCAATCTTACTCGGAGGATCATCTCTACAGCAGATTTCCGGTAAGAACATTTGGCACCCACCGTGGGGCCGATCAAGACAGCTCTTATCGGCCACTCTTATGGTTTCTACCAGAAGTCATAGTAGACGCGCAACAGACGACCTAGATCACGCAACTACCATGGACAACGAAGCAGCATTGAGAAGGCTGATCTAGCAGGTCGAGCAGATGCGGTAGCAACACACCGTTGATCTGCAAAACATGCGTGCCAAGCACGAAACTGACCTAGCCGCGATGCGAACCGCCAATGAAGCAGACCTAGCGGCGTTGCGCACCGAGAATGAGCGTATCCGCGCTTAGCTACCACAACGCACCTCTGATCAACCCCTTCAACCGAGTCACCTAAACGAGGAAGAGGGGCACTTGGTTTCTCAACCGCCAATAGCGCATAGGACACCGACTCCAATTTAAAAAATAGTTAAAGTTGATTGTCAGCACCTTCATCATGAATGATAGGTAGCAACATCCATCTTAATTAAGTTTCTTCACCATATATAAGGTCAAAGAAAGACTTGGCATCATCAATCTTCCCAACCTTAACCAACCTATTGAAAACGGGCCTCAGCCCAAATTCCACCACTTTCCTAAAATAGCCAGCTGCATCCTCAAGTTTTTCTCTCTAAAGCAAGTACTTCAAATATATATACATTTATTTGTGAAGCCTTTAGAAAGTGGTACCAATGAATAAATGCATTAAATTATTGCCTCCACTAATTGATTCATTTGATTGTAGAAGTTGGAGTGGTTTTCTCTAGAGGCAACTATGCTTTTTGAAAATTTACATCAAATTTAAAAGGTATAGCTTGTGTTAATAATTTCTAGGCATATATAGAATAAGTTAAACTAATTTTCATCCTTTCTTTTAAATTTCATGGTTAATTTGTATGATCGATTTAATTATTGATTAATATATACAGGGTTCATTTTGCAAGACCTGTAACCGTGAGCCTCTCTTTCCCGTTTTTCCTTTCCTTCCTTCTATTAATCTATTCTCATTCCCTCTCTTGGATGAAACATGGGTGTTTGTATTTGATTTGGAAGGTGGAGTTGTTGAGAATCAAGAAAAGAAACATGGCTAGTCTTTCTTCTTGAAGCAATTTCATTTATCTTCTTCTTCTTCTCTTCCCCGGGAGCTCGGAACTGAAATTCTTCTCCCTCTGAGGTAAAGGAAGCTAGAAATTTATCATTGATTGTTGCTTGTAGCATGAAAGTGGTGTTGTTTGATGGGTTGGCTGAATGAGGATTAACTTGTGTAGCATTTGAGTTGAAAATGAGGTGTTGAGTGGAAGGGCGAAAATGTGATGGTTTGGGTCGGATTCTTGTTGCATGTGGGGTTTGTGATGTTTTCTGAGTTGCATGTTGATGGTAGGACTATTTTCTTGCAATTGCATGTGTTGGGTCTCCTTGGATTGTAAGTTTTTGATGCATTTTGGGTGAAAAAAATGTGTGAAGCCATGGAAGGGCTGAAAGCTCTACATTTTGCACTAGAGCGTTGAACCGGCGCTGCAGCTGTGTGAGAAAACAAGGTGGTCAAGACTTGGAGCTGCAGCTCCAAGTTGGGCGCTGCAGCCCTGGGAGAAATTGTTTTGGCAGAGACTTGGAGCTTCAGCTCCAAGTTGGGCGCTGCAACCCTAAAAAAAAATAAAGCTCGTAGAAAGTCTAAGCTAGAGTGCTGAATTTAGCACTGCAGCGCTGGGGCTAGATGACCAAATTTGGTCTTAGGGTCTTGATGAAAGTTGTAGCCTTGGATGTTAGCTTTTCAATGACACTGGAATAACTCAAAAAGGAGGTTTAGAACTCCAGTTATGACCATTTTAGTGAGTAAAGGTCAAGCTGTCAGGATTTAGGCTAGTTGTTGCGGTTTTTACATTTTTTTTACAAGGTAGATGATAGAATTAGGACTCTATGTCTTCATAAGAGTTGTAGGAAATCTTATTATATTTCATTTGAGCTAAGGATGAGAATGATAGGAGTATTATAACTTCGTTTATGCTATTTTATATGAAGGTTTCCATTTCACAATAAGTGATTTGGTTAAGTTGAAAGTTGTTTTGGGTGCTTAGGTTGATGTATGTTGTTTATATGTGTAAGTTGGCTTGAAAAATGAGTTGTAAACATGTAGTATATGTTGTAATATGCGATTAAAATGTTGTGTATTGATATATATGATAAAATGTTGAATAATGATTAATGTTGTGGTATAATGAGAAAACATAGTTGTAAGTTGAGAGTTGCATGTTGAACCCTAGTTGTGTAGTTGTGTAGAGATGTTATATGAGTTGAATGAGTTGTTGTATTGTTAAAATGTGTTGTTAAACAATGTTGACGAGTTACTGTGTTGATAAACTGTGTTGTTAAAGTTGTGACTATGTTATTCAAGTTGAAAGTTGATTGAGATGATGAGTTAAAAACTGTGTTGATTGTGCTATGATGAGTTGTTGATCATAAGGTCAAAGAAAGACTTGGCATCATCAATCTTCCCAACCTTAACCAACCTATTGAAAACGGGCCTCGGCCCAAATTCCACCACTTTCCTAAAATAGCCAGCTGCATCCTCAAGTTTTTCTCTCTAAGTCAAACACATAAAAATACAATCTTGTCACCGCACTGCCCACGCGTTATGGGAACGAGGTGACGGTTATGCCACGTGGCGTCATGACAAATAGGCGTACGCGAAAAGTCACGACCCCTTGTCAAGCTCGGTCTTAACTCCTCGACCTACGGTCTTCGGAGCTCGGGGGGCTAGTGTACTATCTGTACCGCTATGCCGAGCTTGAGCTCGCGATCACAACGCGGAGGGACCTCGGACACGCGCTAGGCGACATCGGCTCGCTATCCAATTAGGTCATAAACTGATCTCGGGCCCAAGGCCCAACAAAACCCTAGAGGCAACACATTGAATCGGTCATTAAGTCCCATAAACTTCAACAATTTGTGGTTATTCCTCAAATTCTACCTAGGTATTTGTCAAATGTTGATCGTGATTCAGACATAGTTAATCCTGCATATGAAACCTAGGAAGTCCAAGACCAAATGCTCCTCACATGAATCAACACTCTCAAAGACCATCCTTTCACGTGTCATTGGCTCAGTTCATTCTTATCAGCTGTGGGACAAAGTTTATGAGTATTTTAACACTCAAACTAAAGCACGAGCACGTCAGCTTCGCACTAGTTTTCATTCTACCACTCTTGATGGTAAATCCATGCGTGAATTTCTGACTCAAATAAAAAACATTATTGATGAACTTACTAGAGTTGGAAGTCCTATGTCACTTGAAGAATATGTTGATGTTGTTCTTGAAGGTCTACCAGAAGAGTATGCACCTGTGGTCTCTGTTATTGAAAGTAAGTTCATCACCCCTCTTATTACTGAAGTGGAAGCTCTTCTCCTTGCCCATGAGTTAAGAGCTAACAAGTTTCATAAGCAATCCTTCTCTCCTTCCATTAATTACACTCGAGGTTATTCTCGTGGGGGTGTTAGTAGCAAATATTTTAGAGATCGAGCTGGTGGTAACAGTGGGCGTTGTAGTGGTAACAGTGGGCGTTGCAGTGGTAAAGGTTCTAAAAGAGGTCGTGGTAGTCGATTTGCAAATTTTTAGTGTTAGATTTGCTTTAAGTATGGACACACTGCCAATATTTGCTTTTATAGAGTTGATGTCAACTATCAACCTGCAGACTCCCTTGTCTTTATATGATCCCACCACACTACAACTTGTGCAAGTCACCCCTTCATCAAAAATTAAAGCCTCCAATACTTGGACGAATCCTAATTAGAAATAGCTCAGTCAAGATGCTCACACCAATGCCACACCAAGTGCTATGATTGTTAATACCTCTACTCTGTAGACCCTTAAAATTGTCCGGGTCGGAAATAAAACTCGAGCTCGGAACTGAAATTCTTCTCCCTCTGAGGTAAAGGAAGCTAGAAATTTATCATTGATTGTTGCTTGTAGCATGAAAGTGGTGTTGTTTGATGGGTTGGCTGAATGAGGATTAACTTGTGTAGCATTTGAGTTGAAAATGAGGTGTTGAGTGGAAGGGCGAAAATGTGATGGTTTGGGTCGGATTCTTGTTGCATGT